ATATATTAATAAGAAAGTCATTTAATTTAAAAATTTTTTTACATAATTTTACATTTTGTGCTATACATTTTGTGCATCTTTTGTGCAGCTTACCCTATCTTACCCTGTGGAAAACAAGCTTCTTTGACCAAATAACATTTATTGTCCCATTTCACAATTAAAGATGCTCTGAGAAAATATAATTTTTTATGTATTTAATGTAGTCTGGGTCAATTTTCTATTTTGCTGTACCATATTGTTTTATTAGATGCATGGCCTTTGATGGCAATATCTAAAGTTATTGGAATCATTTTCTTCTTTCTTTGAAAAGTTGAAAAGCCATTCTAACTATTCTGCTATTCTAACTATGCATGATTACAAAATGGCATTTTATTATTTGCATTTAGCATCGTTTTTCCCTGTTCTCTGTGACCCTCTGTGAAGAATAATTTGAACATTTTGTATGCTGGCACAAAAGAAAATATATAAGAAGCAAACAGAGACAGAATTTAACTAATTTTTGATGTTCTTCAATTTAATTTGATGAGCATGTTTATTAAATAGAGCACTACATTTAAGCAATTATGTAATTTTGTTTATTGAATGCCCTAGTTACTGCCATGAAACATCTTAAGCAGAGGTTCAGGGAAAATTGGAAATGCAGCCAGTGAATACAAAGAGACATGCTGACCGCTTCGTACCTCACAGCTAATTGCTTTGGGGAGCAGATAAATATTGCCAGTTCAGAAAAGCCTATCTTGAAAAGTATTGAAAAGTACATCAAGGCTGAAGTAACTTCTACCTTGATACAAACATCGACTGAACAGATGCAAAACACCTTAAGGAACAGGCTGCTGGCAAAGCATCTAGGAATGCTCTTATTGATCAATGGCTACAGCTTCAGCGGCCTGTACAATTCATTATAAAGGTGGTGTCTCTAAATCCTTAATCATACTCAACTCAAAAGGCCCAGATGTGTAGAAGTACGGTATTTTCTGCATGTTTGCCAACTTAACACCCAAGTACCGTTTTAATTTCAGTCAATGGACATGAGATCAATAAACAAACAATTCATATGCCCTTATTGCTAATTAGCTATTTTGCCTTGAAGTCTCTCATCTTACACAAATTGAACTTGATACTCATGCACTGAGCAGATAGGCAGAATATCTGGCTCATAAAACAATGCGAGTATCAGTTCATATTTTATGAATATTTTTAAATTTTTTTTTAATGTAATCCATTTGCAGTCCAGGCGGTGGTTTAGTGCAGTGTTCATGTTTGCTACTTAAACTAACCTGAGGGAACTGTCAACATTGCTACTAAACCATTCAAATCAAGCAAACCTTAACAAGCCCTGCTGTTGGTTAGAAATCTAATTGTGATGTGCAATACAGTGAAATGATTACATTTAATGCTATATTGCTTGCACTTAGGTCTCTTTAATCTGGGAAGTATCTAAAATTCATGATCCAGATATGTGGAATAAGATAATGTTTGGGTGGAAAGCGCTAAGCTCTTTTTGATTTAAATGTCATGTGTAATCATACAAAACACATAGAATTGGGGAGATGTAACCTGTAACCTTCTTAATCTGACAATGCCCTTAATATCTCTAACTACCATCCATTGGCAATAATAGACAGACAGCACATTTGTAAATTTAAATGCACTTAGTGTACTTGCACTATATTTTTCCCCTACTGATTTGTGTTATTTGTTTCTTTTATATATATAAATTTTTTAATTTTTTTCTGTTGTTCCTCTTCAATGTGTGTGGGCAGGCAAAACATTTAATGAAGAAAGAGATCATAGCTAGATTGCTAGATAGATATGATTAATTATTAATTAAGTTTGTTCAATGATTGTGCATTTGATGGGATAATATCCTTAAAATATACTATACAGGGGAGACCGGGGCTAGTTGTCACAGGGAGACTTAAGTATTTCTTAAAAGGTATTAATTTGAAATATTTGAATAATAATAATAATAATTCTTAATAATAATAATAATTATTATTATTATTATAATTGTATTATTATTATTCATTGGCCAAAACAAATTTTTCCATGTAATATTTTTTATAATTTTTCCACTAAATTTTGTGTTTCATACTGAGCTGAACAGTGTAGAATTGTCTCTTTAATGGAAGGTTATATTATGACAACCTAAACCACATGCAACGCTGTTTACACAAAATGTCAACGTGTTTAATTAACTTTATCTTTTTCCCGGGCAGTAACGGTGAAAATGTTAAGTAGCCTAGCTTTTTATTTATTTATTTTATTTTTTGTAGCCACAACTAAACGCTATAAACAAACCTACCCTTACACATATTTACTTTGGTAAAAGTGTGACAACGTGCCCCGGTCTCGTCTATTTCTAAAACACTTAAATGCGCTTTTATTCACTTATTCGCTTACATGACGCGTCGTTTCCAAGGGTCTCCGCACTCCATTCCGGTGAAGAGGCTGGACTCCGTTCCGGGTTTTGCTCCCTCACTGCTCTATACATCGCGTCTCCACACTCCTGCATTGCTGTAGCAGCAGATGTTCGCGCGCTGAAGCCAATATCCACCGTTCTCTTTACCGGAGCAAGTGTTCTGCAGCGGACAGCGAGAAGACGAAGAAGAGTGAGGACGTTTGCTCTCTCTCTTCACACGTCTGGAGTGTGTGTATGTGGGTGAGTGAGCTGAAGAAATTAGAGTCGCGTCTTTATTTACCACACCTGTGATGCGCTGCTGTCTCTGAGCAACGAAGACGCACTGATGGCCAAGGTACAGGAAGAGGATATGTGTTGAAAGAGGACTTATAAATGCGCTGATCGGTGTAATATTACAAAAACTAAACCTAGACAGACAGCAGATACTCCTCGCTGCTCATTCAACAGATATTACTGACTTAAACGTGAACGAGAAGGTGATAAAGATGCCGTTACACCTGGGTCCCTTTGTCCGCTGGAGATCCGGGCTTGTACTCGCATGGATCTGCTTGTTTTCGTCCGGATTTACCTTCACTGGTGAGTTTCATTCATTTTGAAACGCATCTTCCAGTTTCGACTGATAAAGCCATGTGGAAGTCATGCGTAATTGCTTTTACACACAGCAGCTGGCTCCCTTTGTGATGTGATTTCCCGAATAATAACAAAATATTATATTTAACGGGGTTCATTTGTATGCGAAATAAGCAGTTTGCTCCAAATTGTCATATTATTGTTACTTTGAATAACCAGAATGCGCAGAAACAGAGGCGAAGAACCTATTCAGGAACTTGAACGTGCAGTAAGTTTGATTGACATGTTTCTGCGAGCACGAGACTCTAGCGACGAACCTGAGACACTACGGCGAAACGAATAGAAATATACGAAACCGAGGGTTTGTTTAATTGAAAATGACTAGAAATGTATACCATGGGGGTTAAACAAATAAATATCGTTGAATATTGCGTCCTGTATTCCGCGTTGCATTTCTGTGAGCGTCAGCTTGAATGAAGTACTCGACACGCGCACATTTCCACGCGCCGACATTCATCCGTTCTTGCTGCATTGGCAGTGTTTGTGACAGCTTTAAGAAGAACAGTGAGCTCCGACGGTAATTGAACGGTGCAGGGTACATTTGTTGTGTGCAGATATATACGATGAGGTAAACATGCTTTGGTGGTCAGCTCAGTGGAAAAGAACGTGCCCAAATAATCGTGCTCTCCTCCCATCACACATCGTGCACTTGTCTTGGTTAATGGTTAGCTACCCATTATAGCCTTACAAGGAGAGAAGTGAAGATTCACTTTATGTGTAAAGCTTCAATGATTAATAAACATTTTAAATTGATATTTTCATTATGAATACTTTTTCTTTTTAATTGTATTTATTTGCAATGCCAGAATATGACACATTGTCAGTACTGGTTGCTCAAATAATGACTCCTTGTTATTACTCCCACAACCAAAATTAAAACTGTATCATTTCAAAAATGCCAAGCTTATGCGTTTTTACATAAGAATCAGTGTGGGTATGCATATTAAGGTTCATTCGTGGCATAATTTTAATGGGAGAAATTTCATATTGTTTTGCAAACCTTTGTTTACTGTGCTGTAGTTGTTTTTTTCCAAGCTTCATACTGTAAAAGGAATGAAATAAAGACTTGCATATTATGACATCATCATAACATCAAATAACACTGACCTGTTGTCCATGCCTGGACATAATTACAGTAACAGAATCACAGTCACCTAGGCCTATAAATTATATCCAGCGTAATATCAGCTAAAAATAACTTATTCTATGCTGCATTTGGTATGGATGAAAGGGTGTTTAAACGTTATTTGGGCTGTGGAGGTCCATAAAACAAAAAAGGTTGGGAAACACTGACCTAGTCCACCCACAATGTGTTTGTGTGGACCAGTTTGGGCTTGCCGAGATCTGTATTACATTGTGTCAAGAGAGTAAGAGGAGTAAGGAAGGTCTTGGCTGTGGGAAACTTGACTGTGGGAAAGTTTCTGGAGGTTTTATAGTAATCATCACCATAGAGCCCAGCTGGGGGACCGCTGATGAGTATCCTCAGAGCACCAACAAAATTTCATACTTGGCTTACATTGTTCTGCCCCCTCTCTGCTGTGGACAGAGGGCTAACTTGTTAAAAGTTGTGCAATTATCAGTCTTGCTTTAGGAAACTCTGCATGAAAGCTAAATTAAGAGGGTATTTTCTTGTGCATTAATTAGTGCTGGATTTCGCATAAATTAAGACTAGGCAAACAGCCATACCCAAAGGAATCATATAAGAAATACAGTGGCATTTCTGAGGTTTTTCAAACATCCATTCAAATGGAGCATTTTTTTTAAGTAGATTGCAGGGCATCATGAAAAATGCCCTAAATTCCCACCATCTTTGCATGCTCTGTTTAATTTGTCAAGGACACTTATCTTGCTTCGCATCCAAATGAAAAAAGATCAGACAGGAATTTTCTTATTCTCCCCACTTGTAAGAGGAGGAAATGTAAATTGGATGGAGGGGACATAATGGAAGCATGTGTGCTCGCAGACATTGTTAGTCCAAAAGATCATAAAAAATCACACAAGGTGCTCTCGCCAGGCAGAAACGGGCTGACGGTGCATTTTCCTATATATATATATATATATATATATATATATATATATATATTTAAAAAAAAGCCAACTTGTCTTTCCCCTGAAACATAATCCGGTCAAAAATAAAGGTCGCCCTGTCAGTCTTCATCAGAGAGAACACAAGAGACAGAACAGAGCTCTTCCTCGAACAATGTGGTGCCTTCAGGGAGATCAGCTACCGTTGAGCCAACAGGAGGGTTTTTATCAGTCTGTAGACAAAAGAAATCAGAGCATTGTGTTTGTGATGTGTGTGTGTTTCATACTATAGCCTGTGTTAGTGGCTCTGTTTTGCGTCAGAATTTTATACTGATCCAGTACAGTACTAAAATTATTTATTGTAGGAAAGTAAATCCTTAAATGTATACTTTTGAAATTACAATGAACTGCGTACAAACATTGATCAGATGCACAGCCTGTGACGTCAATAAAAAGGATATGGGAATGCTATTTTCCATTTTTAATGTTAATAAGCCTAAATATTTTGCTGTCCTAACCAAACAAGATTATATGGTTTATTGCATTTTCTAAATGGCATTGAGCATTTTTTTTACACCTTTTGTCTGTGATCTTATCAGAACAGATCTGCAATCCTCCAACCTTAGTATTTTAGTTTTTGTATTTAGTACGTTAAAGGTAAAAAAACAAAAAAAACAACAACACACAGACACGCACGTCAAACATGGCAAATCATATTTCCAGGAATGTGTTTATGATGCATACCTGCATACCTACTCAACTTCAGCTTCATCAAATTCAGTGTACACTCTTAAAGTACAGGAATCAGTCATGCAATCAACACAACCCTGCAGTAAAGTATGGTTTCTTGTTTGTTCCCATCTCTTTGGAAAGGAGTGATATAATGGGTTTGCTGTTTTCGCTGTGTGTGTGAGAGAAAGAGGCAGGGGATTTTTGTGGTTGTAGTTTGTGGTGGGCTTGTTTCAGAGATTTTTGGCACTGCTGTGAGTGTGCTTGGTTGTTCACTGAAAGGGATGGGTTTTGGTGTGCAGTGAAACTCAAAAGCTTTCTTATGTGGTTAAGAAGCTTCTCAAAGGCCCCTCAGACCCCAGAGACGGGATTTTACAGTCGTCATTTGGATTATTGAAATTAGGATGAAGCTAGCGTTTTGGTGTTCTCTACTTTTTTTGTTGAGGCGAAATTATTTTAATTGAATTTTTAAAGTTTAACATTAATTAGGCCTTTCACTAAACCATACCAGATTTTCACTGTATACAGTGTCAAAAAAAAAAAAGAGAAATGAGGAAAAAGATTTTTGCCCTTCTACTTGTAAGCTACGTATAAACTTAAATTATGCATGTAAAGAGAGGACTCTGCTGTCATGTTGGGCTTTTGATGCTAACCAATGACTTTTCAGGATGTACAGTACAAGAACCGAAAGAATCAAGCAATGAAGAATTTCAGAGAAAAATGGAAGATTTGAACAGATTAATGTCTGAGAGCAGAGTTGTTCGGAGTCGCGGCAAGCGCTCAGAAGCGGAACATGATTAAATCCATTTTTGTTGTTTCGTTTCACTCGACTCCGGCCACATTGCAATTTCACAACAATTTTAACATGTTTTTTTTTTTTAAATAGACGGTATATTTCTCCCACTCTCACAGTTTCCACACATATATATGTATAGCTGTATTTGAGTTTGATGAATGGAGAGGCGTGAAATGGTGTAACGGAGATGAGGAAAATGCAAACAGTGTAAGTCAACAGCAGCTGGCTTTCCATAATCCAAGAGCATGCTCCATTTGATGACAAATGTGGTCTTTTCTTATCTCACACTGCTATATATGTCTTCTCCATAAGTGTCAAATGCAAATGGAGAAGGAGAGGCGAGGCAGAGAACATGAGAAAGTGTGACGCAATCTGCGAGATCTAAGTAAGATCTGTCCGCTTTAATGATGAACCATCTGCTTGAATACTCAATAGACTCGAGCACTTTGCCTCGTCCCGCAATAGTAACGCAACAAAAGGGGTAATTTTTTCTTCCAACTGTTATTACTCCATAGGGTTTGTTCGGTGGCAATGGAGAACATAAACATGAACAATTTGCTGTGGAGCTCTGCTTGCTCTCAGCCCATCTGTGGTTCATCACCCAGCATATTTAAGGTTGTTTGGGGATGCTCTTCATTCTCCAGTGATCAATAACCCTCTAACTGTTTAATTGGCCATCAATCAACGACAGGGTAGAGTTAAACACTCAATCCCTGCCTTTTATGCAAGTCCTCTGGATCCTTTTGTAGTCTTTAAGTTTGTCTAAGTTGCATCCAGAATATTGTTATTGTATGTGCCGCACAACAGCAGCGGCAGCACACGAGACTTCCAGAGGGCTTCCACGAGGGAGCGTTGTCTTGACTACTACCGTGATGTAGATTGAACGCTCTGCCAGCCCATAATACAAGTGAGGGCGGAGCTTTCTTTTGACATGCATAACTGGTCCAGCATCAAAAGGAATGACAGTACATCATATTAATATTTGCCCACTTCAAGGCTAATGAAACTCTCGAGTTCAGCCCGTCTCTTTTACGTATGGCTGATCTGGATGAGTTTTGTTGAGTTTAATGTACTTGGCTGACCCTCGTGTTCTGTGAGTTTGAAGTGCAAAATTGTCTTTGCTGTTCTTGGCTAACCTCAATTCAAAACCTGCTTGCTTATAATCATGAAGGCAAACATCAGGGATTTCAGTTATTAGAATACGGGGTATCAAAGCAAAGCTCTTTGGTCACTAAGAGATATTGATATTGGATATGATTGAGGTTTCTTTGTGAACTTTGTTTATATTGCAGTTGGAAATTATAGAGGTTGACCATACGAGAATATTTACACTCTACATACATAAGCATCTCTATTATTATTGCTCAAGGTTAGAGATTTGAAAATCAAAAATAGT